GCGCTGTACACATCAAAATATTTGTCTCGAATATAACTATATCGACAAGTTTGAGACACCCTATGGATGGAGGAAAGATATGCGGGTGCAATCGGAGATTAGTCTGCTAACTAATCAATTTATCTATATCTCTTTTTAAATTATTCCTTCTCCCCTAACAGTCGAGTGAAACAAAAAAAAATCAAACAGCAAGTGTCATCAACAGCTGCACCTTATTTAATCAACCTATATTTTTCATTTTTTAAATCGTGCTTTAATTTCAAATAAGTAGAGAAACGTAATTATACCAGGTTAATCGAGTGAGATTTGTTACGCCTAATTAATCCTGATTTCGCTTTACAAATCGAATAATCAGGGACGCGAATTAGAATTGAGTTGATTACCCAGTTTGATTAAATATCAAGTAATATACACATTACATATGTACGATTCAAGCGAAGAAAAAAGAAATCACCAAAATTATGGCGAGGTGATCGATGTCGGTACAAATCTGGCACAGAGAGAAAAGAAAATTAAGTTAAACGCAGTCAGCTTAACCGACGTCGGGAATCGAACCGGTTTTCCGGCGCGAACCAACCTCGAGTCCTCGATTTCTTCCCGGGGATATATCACGCACCGAGTTCTATCGTGCACTGAGGAGAAAAGAGGAACAGCTTCACGGTGGCACGGGGGGGAACGTCGCGTCGCGTCGCGTCGCGTCGTTACGAGGTCGACCAAGTATGACTACGGAGTCAGCCGTCACGCGTTTCTGAATCACGCGACGCGCGATCGGGAGGAAAAACGCGATCGAATCACGCAGGGGCCATCGGATAACCGCCGACGGCTTACCGGCGACGATCCGCGCGCTCGCGAACGCCGGCGCCGCGACGATGACGGCAGCGGCGGCGGTTCGCGTTTTGTTTCACGCTCGATTCTCGGATTTTTTTTTTTTCCGCAACGGGAAAACGATTAGTCGCGAACATTACGGCAAGGATGAGGACAACGTCAACGACGGCGACGGCGACGGCGACGGCGACGTCGACGTCGACGTCGACGGCACGCTTACCTGATTCTGCTTGCACGCACCCGAGGATCCCGTGACACGTGTGCCGCACCGCATCCACGACGACGGCCCGCCTGGCGCTCGCGCTCGCGCTACTAATCCCGCGAAACAGCCGGCGAAACAGGAAATCGCGGCGAGATCCACACCCAAAAATCCCGTCACGTTCGGAAAATACTGACACCTCACTGATAATATGGCCGCCGTCGTCCGTCCGTCCGTCCGTCTCGCTCGCTTGCTCGCTCGTTCGAAGTTAGCGAGGGTGGGAGGTACGCAAAGGCGGAAGAGAGACATGAGCATAGACCACGCGCGTTTAGGAAGATGCGTCGCTCGCGGACTTGAGGAAACTCGAGGAATTTTGAGATAATAATAATAATAATAATAATTCTAATAACAATGATATAATAAAGTGAAGTCATCGATTGATTAATCGCATTTGCGATTCTTTAAAATCGATGAATTAAAAAATTCGCCTATAGTAAAAATGATGCGAGATGCAAACAATAATGGTGATAGTAGATATTTTATGTGAGCAATATTGTATCAGATGTTCAGTTTGTGAACAACGTATAGATACGTATGATAGATAAACATCAAAATACGTTGTGTCAATATTACGGAAAATATTTATCAGCTTTACATCACGTCTATCATAAATATAATAAGTAGAGAATGTTGACAACATGAAGTAAGAAATTGACCAATTATAATCGAATGTAAAAAGAATAATCGCTTATGATAGGTCAATTTTTTACTTCTTAAAGTTTAAATCATCTATTGTGGACCAACACTAAGTCGGTGTCTACAATTGGACGAACGTTTAAGACCATAAGGCTTAAGGAAATTGGCCAATCATAATCGATTTAGAAGAATAACTGATTGTGATTGGCCAATTTCTTAAGTTTTATGTCTTAAAGTCTCATTGTAGAGGCCGCTTAGTGTTGGTCCACAATGGTGATTTAAGCTTTAAGAAGTAAGAAATTGACCAATTATAATCGAATATGAAAAGAATAATTGACTATGATTGGTCAATTTCTTACTTCTTAAAGCTTAAATCATCTATTGTGGACCGACACTATTGTAGATCGAAACTTAGACTGTATTCCGATATTCACTGCCAGTACTAAAAATCTATGATATACGTAACCTGAACTATATATTTTACTGATCGGTAGCCTAAGCATAGCCTGGTTTAGTCCTAGTCTACAATAGATGATTTAAGCCTTAAGCCATAAGAAATGGACGAATCATAGTCGAAGAATAAGAGAATAATCGACTATGATTGATCAATTTCTATGACTTAAGGCTTAAATCTATTATAGATTGGGACTTAGGGCCGCAGCACACACTTCTGCATAATGCATAATGCATAAAAAATTAATCAAAAATCATCTTTCATTTTCATTATGAGGATAAAAATGGAGGATTATGATTAGTTCATTTTCTTATGCATTATGCATTATGCATTATGTAGAAGTGTGTGCTGCGACTCTTATGCTTTGGTCTTAACCTTAAAAGTTGAAAATAAAGAATGCTATAAGATCGTTTATGCTTCCCTAATCTTAAAGCGTAAACAGTCTATGGCATTCTTCATTTCTAACTTTTAAGGTTAAGACTAAGGCAGAAGCATAAATCAGACCTGAGTACGCTGGGTTCGTTTGGAGCGACTCAGAACAGCTCCCGAGAGACAAAACGAGCAATGTTGATATTTGAGTTACAATATGTCACATACTATATCCAATATACTACTGAATAATAGAATGAAAGTTTGCACAGATTTCACGCAGGCCATATTGATAGGCGCTCCCAATGAAATTAAACACAGCAGAAGCGTACATATGAAGATTGCATTCAAAATAACATTCGAGTGCACCCAGTATCATTTTAATGTTTGTTCAACATTCGATAAACAACAAAAACAAAATACGTCCAATATTTCTAAATCCATTCTAGTAATATAAAGACGAGTTATAAACAGTCATAAGTACAGTATGGGCAAGGCACTTACTATGTTTATATTCGTCTCTACTTTTTCACTTCTTAAAGTCATTGCACGTGAAAAAATTTTAATGGTAATCGTAAGGTCGTAAGCGAATTGACCAATTACAATCAATTATTTTTAGATTGTAAGAAGAATAAAGGCCATTGCACGTGAAAAAATTTTAGTGATAATCGTAAGGTCATAAGCAAATTGACCAAATCACAATCGATTATTTTTAGACTATAAGGAGAATAATTGGTAAAGATTAATGGATATAGAAATTAATAATTTAATAAATTAAGAAAATATATTTATTTACACAAATAATGTAAATATATGCAATCGATACACAATCAAACTTTACAAGTTCAATACTCTAATATTAGCATGCCTGACTACAGTTAATTTCATAAATTGAAATATATTGCCATTTATAGTTATCCGAGTCGAATAAATTAGTAATAAGAGTTCTCGGGCCGAGTTCTAGCATGGACACAGACTTTTACGATTACGATTAAAATTTTTTCACGTGCAATGGCCTTAATTAATTCTGATTGGTCAATTTGCTTATAATCTTACGATTACGATTAAAATTTTTCACGTGCAATGGCCTTTAACATAAATGGTTATGTGACATCGAAACCAAGATCAAAGATATCGAAGATACTAAATGCCTTTATCATTTGTACTTTAAATATTGGATTCATGCCTCATCTCTATATTTCTATACTTGTTTAAATACATGATTCAATAACAAATTCACAAAATTACAGAAAAAAAAAGATGAGAATATCCTACAACACTGACTTTATATTGTATACAGCAATATTGTACAATGCTGCTGCAATATAGCTGCAAAGTTTATACATACTATAGAGTTATTTGTATATTTACTATCCTTCAAAAATTTTGAAAGATGCATAATTTCAATTCTCACTATCATTTGTCTAATTGACAACATAATTAGTAATGACGATTGCCACGATTTCCGATTTTTGGCCGGAGATTCGAGTAGAACATTATGTATGATAATAATAATAATTTTAAATATATTATATGTAAATATATTAAATATACAATGAATAGATCTTCGGTAAATCAATAAAATAATAACTGTGTTAGTAATCGTGTTTTTTTTAAATAATTCTTATGTCACAATATATTTTACTTTACGATGTTTCTAATCTTTTTTTTTTCAGTAAATAACAAAAGCTAATTGTCTTAACAAAACAATATCCCTTGATAAATTACAGCGTTTTCTATTATAAATGAGCTTGTATTGATAAACTGAATATGTATTATAAATTTAAGTTTAATTAAAAATGTATAAAGAAAAGAAATAGAAAATATTAAATTATTAACAGATTAAATACTAAAATAACAATTATATCTTATATAATTGTGTTTTCGATATATCTTTTTTAAATATTAAACTTAAATATGAATTGCAATTAGTTTGATAGCTCTAGTAAAATCCAAAACAGATCATATGATGTCATTAATCGCTTTCATGACTTAAGATCTATTCAAATTTACACGGCTACACTAACTATATGCATAAAAAAAGTTATCCAATCGCATTTGCGATTCCTTACAATAAAAATACGATTGTATAATTTTCTTTTTGTACATATGCTTATATAAGTCTGTCTGAATAAGCCCTAAATCTAATAATAAAGCCCTAATGATAAAAATGATATTATATGATCCGCTTTGGGTTTAACTAGAATTAATTGCAATTTATATTTAGTTATGCAGCTATGCAAATTTGACTGAATAAATCAGGCCCTTGATCCAAGTCATGCTTGAAATATTCATTGACTCAAGGTCCGCCCGAATCGAGGGGAGTTCACTTCAAAGTGCGTTCGTTTGTGCAGTGTGCGGTAATTCCGGAGTGTCAGATTCTCGGTGCCACTCGGAGAATGGGTGGGGGAGGATTATATCGGACAATCAGACTATATATATACATATATATGCACCTTCTTATCCACGCGTCGTCAAGTCGGCAGCGAATTACGCATTCGTAGTCATGCTAGCTAGTTAGCAAGACGTGTGATCTGCTGACTGTCATCTGCCGTGATACCGGGCACCCCATTATTCCGCCACTCGGCGACATTCATCTATTAAAAATGTAAGTGACGTGCGGTGCGCTACGTTAATAATCAGGGACGAGCATTGTTAGCAATAAGCGCGAATCAGTTGCCTCGGAATATGCTGCGACGAAGAAGATTCCGCGGCTTTCTTGTTCCATTCTACTGTGATTCTGTGTCTCGCTCGTCGCGCTTGCATCGATTCGCGACACGATACGATAACCTAAACCCAAGCATCTCTATCGGATCTCAAAAGTAATAACACAAAACGCTGATCGATCGATCGACCGACCGCTCGGAGAGAAAAGTTGGATAACGTTACAATGGAGCATCAAATATATTTTCGGATCGTTTCAAATCGAAAGCGAAAACACTAACACACGAACAAATGTTTTTAAGAAAAAAGAAAAGAGAAAAATAAAAACAGAAAGAGGGCACACAGAGAAGAAGAAAAACGGCGCCTTTCGACGCGCTCGCATTTTCTGCGGCGTCATCCCGCCTTCTGGAACCATCGTCAACGTCAACGTCGACGTCGATGTCGACGTCGTCACGAGATCGTCGAATGATCGCGAACAATCGAACTCGGTTCGAAAAGTCGTGCCGTTCGTTTACATTATTTCGAGACAGGTTGAAGACACGTAGGGACTGATCTCATCCCCCCCTCCCACCCCGTCTTTTTTATTTATCCCATTTTCGGTCAGTCTCTTTGTCATCGGGGGATGATGATCCTGAGTAGCAGTGGCGCAGGTGGAGCAGGTTCACTCGAAAATATCGTTTTGGAGTCGCTTTGTGAAAATTCTCGAGTTAACCTCTCGGCCGCGTTGCGATCTGCCGAATCTCTTCTGCTTCCTGCCACTTCGCGGCGCCTTCACGTAGGTGACATACGGAAAAGACACTTCGCACGACGGACACGGTTGTCCACGGTTATCCGAACGGACGCTCATTCGTTTACCCCGGTCGGTGAAGTATCACCATCATCCTTACCACCGCCACGGCCACCGCCACCGCCACTGCCACCGCCACCGCCAGCGCGAAGAGGCATTATTTTTGGGGACGCGTAAATAACACGTGCCGCCACAAGTCTGACGCTTTCCACGCGCGCGGGAGAGAAAAAAGACGGAACAAGAGACATATAGATAAATATGGTTAGTCACACCGGCACGGTCCTCTTACTCATTGTCAACCTCGGCATGAGACGTTTAATATCCTCTTTTTAGGTATGCTCGACTTCACACGTGAAGCCACATCAACGTTCGTAGAGTCACGCTGTAGCCGCGACATATAGCTGTTCGGCTGTCGTGATAACAATAGGGAATAAAACGTTAAATGTTTTGCTAATCGATTTGATCGTTTTGACTCTAGAGAAGTATTGTTTGTTAGTCCAGAAGGGGTAAAATGATGGCCATGCGATGATTGAAAAGTGTATCGCGTTCAAAGTTAATTCGCGAAAATCGAAGTGATAAACCGCAAACATTTATTTAATAAGTTGTTAAGTGATGAATGAAGTGATAGCTCTCGATCGAGATAATTAGGTACATTGTACTTGTGTTAGTAATTGAAAATATAATTTATAAGAAAATGGATTCTTCACCTTTGTTGAAGTCAAATGTTGGGACAAATTTTTTTAGTTCTGCTAGATAAATAATATTTAATAGAAAGTGCCATAAAAATTATATTTTTATATCTTGGTGCTATTTTTAAAATTGATATTAGGATTATTCTTAGGATTTTAAGTAAATCTGATATATCTGATATATTATACATAGTTTATACATATAGTAGTTTGTACATATTTTTAATTTTTATGAACATATATGTATATCTTTGAACAGGCAAAACTCAGAAAGTGTTCAACAGATGAGAGTGATCTAGCAGTGAAACGTCCCAAAAGTAGCGAAAGAATGTTCTGTTGGGGTAGTACAATTCATGGGGAATTGGGTTTGGGTGGAATCGAGGATGAAAATATCTTTATGCCACGTGAGGTGGATTTTGCGCAAGCAAATGATATCGAGCAAAGTAAGATTCTTGAAAGGTCTTGTAAAGATGTAAAATCTATTCCTGTCATGTGAATGTTCTGACAAAACCTAAATTTTTTCAGTTGCATGTGGACAAAATTATACAGTAATCATTACAAACGATGGTCAAGTATACTCCTGTGGTAATAATGACTATGGACAACTTGGCTACGAGACGGCGAGGAAAAAATTACGTGAGTATATATAATAGGAATTTTCAATTAAATGTGTGATTTAGATATTTTTTAGACTACAAAACTTCTGAATCAGTTTTACTAAGATGTACCAATATTCTACACAGAATTAATACCTGGCCTGGATGCATTTGTATTTAGAAAAATAGCATGTGGCAATCATCATACTCTGGCTGTGAATGAATGGGGGCAACTTTTCAGTTGGGGTTGTAATATAAATGGTCAACTAGGTAATGTATATATTATGTTTTCATAATCCTTATGTATTGAAAAATTAAAAGTGCAATTTTTATAATTTTTAAATATGCATTATGTATGTTAATCATAATATTTATTGTATTCCTCTAGGAATATCTATTTTAATGTCTCTTTTTATAGGATTAAATATCATCGAAACCACAGAGCGTATACCACGCATGGTAAAAGCATTAGCTACAAAAGTGGTAGTACAGATTGCGTGTGGTGTGGAGCATTCAATCGCCCTGACCAATGATGGAGAGCTGTACGCATGGGGTAGTAATAAGGAGGGTCAACTAGGTTTAGGAAGCTATACGGTTACCGAGATAAAACCCAAGAGAATTACCAGTTTAGCTGCTGTACCACTTGCATTTATTGCATGCGGTGGATATCATACCATAGTCATATCGAAATCAGGTAAGCGCCTTTTAGCTGGAGTCGTGGATATAATTCGATTGTATGCGATAATTACAGCCTGCTTTTTCCCATAGGAGCTGTATTCGCGTGGGGACGAAATAACTTCGGACAATTAGGATTAAATGATACAGAGCAAAAAAATTTACCATGCCAGCTACGTACCCTGAGAAACGCGAGAGTATGCTATGCGGCGTGCGGTGAGGATTTCTCGGTGTTTTTAACAATGGTAATTTTATTACTACATTAGACAGTATTTTGGAAATTAAAGAATCCTAAAATAACCATGTGGTTATTTTCAGGATGGTGGCGTGTTTACATGCGGTGCTGGTATGTACGGTCAATTGGGTCACGGGAATAATACGAATGAGATTTTGCCGCGACAAGTTATGGAACTGATGGGTAGTACGGTAACGCAAGTAAGTTATAATTTATTGGTTGTGATTACATTATGTAATTAAAATGTATAATTTCTACCGTATGATACACATTATATGATAATAATTGATGAGTGATGCATGATATATGATATATATATATATATATATATATATATTTGTGTATACTACTACATATATATATATATATATATATATATATATATATATATATCATGTGTATGTGTATGTGTATATGTGTACATATATATGTACACATGTATATATATATGTATATACATACATACATATATCATATTTACAATAACAATTAGAGTAATATAGCTCAAAAGTCATCATCTTTGAGTTGTTTACAAATTAACATCTTTTAAATATATATGATAGAGCAATTACTAATAGAGCAATATAACTAAAGTTCTAAAATTCTTAATTGAAAAGAGCATTTTATATAAAAAATATCACAAATTGAAAAGGAGGTCTTTTCTCCTCTTTTAAAATTTATTTTTATGCAGGGTGTCTAATAGGATTTTAAAAAACTGGAATTCTTACAGAATTTATTTACATCTTGAAAAATCAGGAAATTCTTTTTTTCAGGTTTGAATAGATGTTTTATTATGCTAAATGTTAGAATAAAATTGAATAAAATTTGAATTTGAATAAAATTGAATTGAAACATTGAATAAAAGCTAATAATATTTATATTTCTTTATAATTAGTTATTATATCATAATTACATATGAGTTTTTCTCATCTTATTATATTATTATTAATTTCAATTAATTTTATTATTACTCAAGTGCAATAATTTATTTATTCGTTATATGTTAATCTATTATATTACATATGCATATATTAATAATAATATATTTTATTGTGTAGATTTCATGTGGTAAAAGGCATACATTAGCTTTAGTGCCATCGAGAGGAAGAGTTTATGCATGGGGTTTGGGTGGTGCTGGCCAATTAGGCAATCGTGCTTCACAAAGTGCTACAACGCCACAAATTGTATTGGGACCATGGTCTTCGCCGAGTGGATCATCTATGACGCTCGACTTGCACTACAGTCCTCTCATCGATTGCGTTGTCAAGCATATTTTTAGTGGAGGCGATCACTGTTTTGCTACGATTACTCAGAGAAAAGTATGTATTCTTATATTACATCCTATATTTTTAGCCTACATCTTTTTTATTGATTTAATTTTTAAATTTCTGAATTTATTTATTTATTTTTTTTTTCAAAAAAAAAAAACAAAAGCAAACGCTATGAAATGTTTAATTTCGCATCGTTTTTATATAAGAAAAATTGCATGTATTTAATTTTTATATAAGAAAAGTTATTTCTACTTAAATATATCTACAGGATAATATAGAACCAGATGACTGTAGAATATTAGGACCGACTTCTCAAATTCTTACAGTGATGGAGGAAAAATTAATCGAATGTCAAAAGATCCCATCAGGCTCACCGGTTAATCATGAATTAATGACGTGAGTAAAAAGTATTACTAAAAAACACATATAACACATAATTATACATATCACACAATACATATACAATTTAATGCAAAACATTTAATAGAGATTCGCGTGTTTACTCATATTTCTACCTTCGCTTTTTGATTGCTCGTTCGTGCTATGTCATAATAGATCTGATTTAAAAATCTAAACGATTTGTCACAGTTTCATGTTTTCGTTTAGACTATACATATTTATACAATATTTTTCAGGTATCTAGAAACTGTGTTCAAAAGTCAAGCGTGCATAAATGCATCTTTTTTAGTTGCTAACAACGCGCATTATGGATGTTCGAGCAAACATCATGGAGTAGATCTTGATATTGCAATAAAATTATTCGGAATTATCTCAGAATTGGATAATGACACGATTCAAGAACTGGTACATATGGTGTACAAATATATACGTAAAATATTGCTGAAGTTTAATGTTATGTTTCTATTTCAGATTTTCACCAGCATAGCCGAGAGTGTGATACCATCACTTGTTGAATCTCCACCTGATGTGGAGACCTTGAGGGTGTATTTAACGTTACCTCTGTATCATCGCTTCACCAATCTGTCTAATTATAGCTCCTTGCAGACACCGTTTTCCAAGATATTCTTAAATTTAAAGCCTGAAGCTAATAAGATTGTGGGTTCATGGTGGAACACAACCACGCCATACTATTTCGAGAGACTCATAAGAATGTACAAAGCTGTGGTACTGCACTTTGTGAAACAGGCGACGCAGGACAAGGTAAATTGCGCGCAAGAATTATCTGTTTAATGATAAGCGTTTTAGAAGAAAGTCTTAAGATTTATATAAATTTTGGGGCAATTCTATGATTGTATTATGATTTCTTCATATATCTACGATCAAAATTGATAATTCTGCAAGTACTTATTTTTTTCTGCTGTAGTTATGAAAGGCATATTTTACAGATCGTTCTCTGGTCTGAAAGTGTACATTATGCTCTGGAAATGCTATCATTATTGTACAAACTAAATATTTATGTCGTTCTACTGGTACCCTACGAGACCTTCTATCTACCAGAATTAATAAAACATGTTAACGTTATCAAGGACTATCTTAGATGGTTAGATGAAGAAGATCGAATTTGTGTGAGTTACTTTAGATTTTAAATGTGCTATTTAATTTACATACGTAAGCTAAATTAACAATATGATGTACTTATTATTTCTCATGTTAGTGCTTGTAGCATTATAATCTTCATAATTTTTCAGAAACATAAATTATTCTTTTGCAATTATCCTTTTTTATTCGATGTTGAAGTGAAAACTACATTGCTTGAAGCCGATCAAGCTATACAGGTATAAATAAAAATAATCTATTTAAAAAATCTTTCCGAGTCTTTAGAAATCATTGTGTGCATTGTTTAACAAAATATATTTATAGATGGAAAGTGCGATGGATGAAGTGGCATCACGGGCCTTGAGAGATATTATATGGGGGTTTTTACCTAATGCAGACTTCGAGGAATATAGTCAATATTTAATATTACACGTATCACGAGACAAAATAGTCAACGATACTTTGACTTTGTTAAACAAATATGATCGTAGAGATTTGAAGAAACCACTTAGAGTAAGTATCAAATTTACTTTGTGTCTTAAGTACGTTTTTCGAAAATCAAATTTTAAAAAAGATTTTTATTTAGAGATTCTAAAACTTATGTAATATATCTTATGTAATATATATGTCGCATATTCAAATTTTTTCAGGTTAAATTTGCCGACGAGGAGGCTGAAGATGTGGGTGGCGTCAGAAAAGAATTTTTTATGCTTCTATTTACAGAGATTCTCGATTTTAAATACGGCATGTTCGAAGAAAATGAAGAGACGAGGATAATCTGGTTCAGATCCGATTCATTGGTCGAGGATGAAGAATTGTATTTCTTAATCGGTATTCTCTGTGGCTTGGCTATTTACAATTTCATAATTATCAATGTGCCATTTCCACTGGTCTTGTATAAGAAACTGTTGGGAGAAAAAGTTGGATTGAAGAACGTCAAGGAAATATCACCGACAGTGGCCAGGTACTCCATTTATTTTGAAATCTATAACTATAATATAAGTATGTCGTTAATCATAGATTAAGATATCAATGAATGTATTGCAGAAGTTTAGAAAGTATCCTTGAATACAACGAACCGGACTTTGAGGAAGTGTTCTGCTTGAACTTTGACGTAAGCAAAGAAGTATTTGGCGAATTGAAAAGCGTCGAATTAATCCCCGGTGGTAGTAAAATGACTGTAACATTAAAAAATAAGTATGTGAATATTGATATCGTATACTGATGGCGATAATAGAAAAAGAAAAAGAAAAGCAAGTTTTTTTTATTTTTAGGCAGCAGTACGTGGATCTTTACGTGGATTATATATTGAATAAATCAATTCAAACGCAGTTCCAAGCATTTTCCAAGGGTTTTCATAACGTCTGCGGTGGTAGAGTGTTGGAGTTATTTCACAGTCACGAGTTGATGTTACTTCTAATGGGCAATGAGAATTACGATTGGGAGGAATTAGAAAAGAATGCTTCTTACAAAGAAGGCTATTCAAAAAGTGATCCTACTATCGTACTCTTCTGGCAAGTCTTTCACGAGTTACCATTAGAAGAAAAGAAGAAATTTCTACTTTTCTTAACGGGCAGCGATAGAGTACCGATACAGGGCATGAAAGCTATAAAGGTGAGAGAAGACAACATATTACTTTATGTATATAAAGGAAAGTGTGTATCATGTCCTCATAAAACGAGAATTTGTTATTTCTGTTATAGATAACGATTCAGCCGATGAGTGATGAGCGTTTCCTACCAGCCGCGCATACTTGTTTCAATCTACTTGATCTGCCACGTTATCAAACTCGCGAAAAATTAAAATATAAATTGCTGCAAGCTATCCAACATAATCAAGGATTTTCCCTTGTGTGAGAACGAAGGATGATATGAAGCTTTCTCATGACTCGTAATTTTATAAATCGTAATATGACAATTAAACTATTTATGTACAAATCTCATAAATTTAACAAAGATAGAAATATTCATGAAAAATAGCAAGTTCCTTATAAACTATGATAACATAGCGTACAATTCGTCTGCACCTGAGTTTCTCGCTTTGAATTTTTTCAAAATTTGTATTATTTTCTTGTTATCTAACAAATACAAATTCATGCCTAAATAAACTCAATAATTACATAGTATAATATTTTACTATACAATGAATCGCGAAAAAATATATTAGATTTAAATTGCCGAAAAAAATTTTTATTGTAATAAGTTATCGATAAGATATAAATAAACAAATCAAACAAATAAATAAATTAAATTTTACGCTCTTAAGTTTTCTGAAAATTCGGCAATTCCAATTTAAATTAAAAAATTAGATTGATGTCAATTTTTAATACATTTAAAATTTAATTGAATTATATCAAATTGATAATAGTAATTAACATTAACATAAGTTTACATCTATTAAATTCTTGTACAGTAAATATTAGAAAGATTATAAAATTTCATGAGAATGTAAATGCAATATTTTTGTACAAAGAATTATTCATATTAGATCTATGTATAAAAATTCACATCTACTACCAACAAAAGAAATTCTAACATGATAACGTTAGAAAGTCACCGATTGAATAGAAAGAAATATAAATTAATTCATAAATGTATTCGAATCAAGAAAAAATGATACTCAGAAAAAGTTATCTAGTTTAATAAGAACTTTTTTGATACTACAAATGACAAATTTCATAATTTTTTATGGATTATATTCAATATTTTTTGCACGTTGTTAATTTGAGAGTATATTTTTGAGCTTGCCATATAAGTGAAGATTTAAGATAAAACGATTATGTGTGTGTGTGCGTGCGTGCGTGCGTGCGTGCGTGCGTGCGTGCGTGCGTGCGTGCGTGCGTGCGTGCGTGCGTGCGTGCGTGCGTGCGTGTGTGTGTGTGTGTGTGTGTGTGTGTGTAATCGTTTATATAGTGTCTCATAATTAATAGTACATCACTCGTATGCAGATATTACAGCTCTAACTTGTAAAACAAAGAAAAAAGTCCTTTTTCATTTTGCAATTTTTGCAATTAATGAGTTATTAATTAATAAAAATCGGCGAATAAACGCATATCTACTTAATTAGCAAATACGAACGTATTAACGCATTTGCGGTTGCTAAGAACGCAGCGAGATATTTAGAATGATCTATAAATGATGAAGCATTCGCTAATAGCGTTACTTTCAAAAATCTTACTCTTATCAAGCTGTAAACGGATTATCGCATCTCATGTGCTTTTGCCGATGGGTCGAAATGGCAGAAACGCATTTATTCAACGATTTTTATTAATTGATAACTCACTAATTGCAAAATATACAGAATCTTTTATCAAATATACAGAATCATTTAGTTTGATCCGTTCTATCTATACACGAGTGATATAATTTGTCATTAATATTGAGACAGTCTCATATATATTTATATATGTATGTATATATGTATGTATAAAGCTAATATTATAACTCCATATGACACTCGCGATAAAATGACATCGTTGGAAAAGAAGCATTTTTGATAATAACAATAATAATAATAATTTTAGGATTTTATTTTATTGTGACGCACTTTTTTAATGGGAATGATTTAGACGACTCGAAATGCACTTCGAGCCGTATTTTTTCTTTTTGCAAAACTTGGTACGAGTGTAGAAAATATTTTGTAAATTGTTACTTAGATACATGTCTTGTATTACTTGGAAAACAAATTGAAAAGAAAAAAAAATAAAGATTATCGTTATCTACTCCTTGCATCCCAAATATTTCAGTACAAAAATGAAATTTTGTACCTATATTTATGTTATATTATGCTGTAGTTTATAATGATGCTTATCGACACACTGGTGTAAATTGTTGATATTTATTTATTCACATCGATATGTTACATTATTAAAAATTATTCGTCAGTTAGTTAACGGGCAGACCGTCGCCAAATCGCATTATCAAATGCGTCGCGCGTTTCGGCATACTTCGATACATCACCTTTTTCCCGAATACATTTATTCTATATTCGTCTCGGATCGTTCATTTCGCGGATTTGCATCTACATTCAGCGTTCGTTATTCCATGTTGTCAATGTCTTCGCGACAGAAAGTCTGCCATTGTCATTCCTTCGAAGTCTCTTAAGCGATCACTTATGATCCGCCTCTCTTATGATTCGTATGGCAAGCGTTAGTTTTATAAACCTGTTCGCAGCGTTAATTCTATCACAACATTGAGTTCATCTCGTCAGAAATCCCTAAACCGTGCAAGCGAAAATTTCTAAATTGAAAAGACAAGCGGTCTTGCTTAAAAGCAATGAAGTTTTCTTTTTCAAATTATTCGATTATTTCGTTACAAATGTAAATATACTTGAAGGTTTATTTTTCTTGATATGTAGACAGAAAAAAGGAGGACGCGAATGCTCATAAGTATGGGAATCTCTGAACGATGATGTTTCGAATAATAAACCGAATGCTGTAAGATAAACCGGATTTTCGGTAATTGTTATTAATTTACGCTACCCTGCAAAGATGAAAGGCAACCGTTCAGTCTCTATATACACAGGTATATTCGTTGAAGACTCGAAATCCAGATCGGAAGTCTTCCTAGAAACTCGAGAAACGCATGACGTGAAATTTCTCTTTGGTTGTCTGGACCACATCTGAAAGAGCAGTAGCACAATTATAATTCGTGCGCAGATTCATGGCCCTTCTCCCCCATATAAAAAAAAAAAAAAGAAAAAAAGAATAAAAGAAGCCGCGATATAAATTTGATATAAATTTCTTTTTACAGTTTGGTATAATTTTTTAAGATTTTATTTGTGCATAGAGATTGTCCATCATGCGTTTCTCTGGCTCCTCGCAGATCCCGGAGGATTCGCGTCCCGAGCGTCCCGATCGACGAGAAACTCGGGATTCGATTTCTCGGACTCGAATATAGCGTCGCTCGAAACGGGATATTCGCTAATGATGGTAAGCCGGGGTGAAGTACTGGGTGCCAGGCGGTGCTCGGTAGCCCGGGTAAGTGTTGTTCAGGGCGTGCTGCGCGAAGAAACCGCTATAGTCCTTGTGCACTCGACGGGGCCTGAAAGCCGGACCCTTCGCGAGCTCCATCCTGGCCCGGTTCTCCGCCTCGACCTGGGCCTTCACGGACGGCGGCGGCCACTTCAAATCTCCTCGCATATTGCCTGTTGCCGGAGCTTTGGTTGCTGCGGGCTGGGCCTGGTACACCGGTGCTGGTGCCTGTCGATTAAGAATGGATCAGAGATGCAAGAGAGAGAGAGAGAGAGAGAGAGGGAGAATGTTGAGTGAGCAATTGCTTTTGCAATTGTGTCTGTTCCGATCTTCCTTTTTTGTTTTTTTTTTGTTTTTTTTATTGAGGGATATTTAATCCATATCGAAAATAATAGTATTACAAATTTATTTTACTTCATTTCACATTCTTATATTTCTTATATTTGTATAAATATAAAACAAATATATAAAATTGTTGTTGCATTAATATAAAATTTCTTTCAGCTTTTTATATTTTTATTTAATTTAATGTCTACAAAAATTTAGAAATCCAAATTTTTAAATTTGAATTACCAGTTCATCTTGTTTTCTAAAAATTGTTTTCTAAAAATAAAGCTTCGTAATAGTTTTGACGAAAATCTCGAAAAAAAGATCAAAATACAAAGATTTATTTATTAATCGTGTTTGATTAAATGACCGGTGATAACAATATCTTTTCATCTTGGTGTATATAATTTTTGGCGCACGACGCCAGAAATAAAAAATATCTGAAAAAAAAACATCATTCTTGTTAGTGACGCAGGAAACGTTATTCTTTCGAAGTTCGATAGTTCGGATTAAAAGTGACGTGTAACTGTGTGCGGGATATTCTTAGAAGTAAATTTCGGACAAGCGAGATGTAATCGATGCTGCCGGAATGATGAGGACGTTCGTATATTTAACGGCTGATATGCTGCCAGAGGCGGCCCTCGCTCGCGCGAATTTTACTCTCGCAAAAATATTGTATATCCCGCTGCCGTTTCTCCGGTTCTACTCTCGTATTTTTTCATCTTATCCCCCATTCGCCCGACACTAAACGGGCGGCGTTTTTGGAGGCGCGCGTAAAATTTTGCCGCGTTATTCTTGGCCGGATCAAAGTCACGTTGAGAGTGTAACATAATATCGAATGTGTAAATATGTTTATTAACATGTTCATTGCTGAATCCTCTTGTCATATAACACAACCGTGTTCACCGCCCATGCGGATTCTGACTGTCAAGAATATCAATTATTTATATAATTAATTTTTTTATGATATGGTATGCATAACTTGAATATGAAGGGAATATATAGAATTTACTCTTATGATATCCTCCGAACTTTCCTAAAATCTACATATGTCGTTAGGAATATCATTATTTATTAATATAAATTATTCTTATTTGTTATTGCAACTTTTTTTTTATGGGCTGTGAGATTTAAGTTTTCCAAGCAAAGTAGTCTCACCTGCGAAATAGGCGGCTCAGGACGGAGGACGATAGTGGAGGGTGGTGCCTCGAACGCCACAGGGACGGTATAGTAGTTGGATGGTGTCTGTTGCTGCCTCTGCGGTGTCCGGTCGTAGGGATCCTGAGGGTGTTGCTGAAACGCAGAGAACGCAGCGATAAGATTTGCCCATTTGTCGCGAGCGTGTCACACCCACGCGAAGACATCTACGACCGTACCAGTTGCTATCCTGCAAATCTTCCGCAATCCTCGCGAAACTTGGCTAAAAACGTCTCACGGCGCATCGGGCGAAGCTCTGAGTGAGAGAGAGAGAGAGAGAGAGAGAGAGAGAGAGAGAGAGAGAAGAAGAAGAAAGAGAGA